TTTGTTTACTTCCTACAAACGCGCGTTTTCGTGCGTATTATTCAAGGACGCGCGGCTGAGGGAAATGAAATAAACATTGCACTGACTAAGAAAATGTGTTTTGTGCACAGTGCTTCTCTGGCTAATTGAATGCTGTCCTCATGCATCATCTGAAGGAACAGACACATCAGTTACTCCTAACAGAAGCTCAGGACTAGAGAAGAGAATCACATGCTTGGCCACTGCACAGTTGTTCTGTACTCTGAATGGATAGTGGTGCATGATTGTCATTAATCGATGATATGTGAATGATGAGACCTGCATTCCATTGCACACGACAAAGGGGTTGTAAAAAAAAAAAAAATGAGTGTCAGTTCTTTTTATGCATAATAGTACAAGTGTGAAATATAACTATTGATAAGAGAAAAATGCGAAACGGAATCAAATAAAAATGCTTAATAAGGACTATTGACATAATAAATAAGATGCATAATAATTGCTATTGCGTTTTATGATGAATCGTGTGTTATGACAATAAAATAAACTGAATTGTTGTCATTATTAATTGGTTGATTGAACTTTATTGTATTTTTATATTATTATAGTTTTTTTTATTTAGCTTAATGGAACCAGATGGGATTGTTTCTAAAAGTTCTAGAAAGGAGTTATGAAGTTTAAAGATAATAATAAATGGAAAATATGATTTAATTCTGTAAACGTAAATGCACATTACCTTTATGCATACAATTCCTATAATATGAATACTTGTAATGCGGAAAATATGAATAATGCAAAATAATTTGCTGTACAAAATTATTAAGAGCAAGCGGTGAAATTGAATCAAATAAGCATAAGAGGCATTGATGCGTGTTTTTCTGTGCATGTTTAACAAGGACAAAACAAAGGAAAATGCTGAATAAATCAATCAATCTTGTATTGTCAAACAAGATCTTTTCTGGTATCCACATGCATTGCAGACAGTCTGGGTTACAATGTCTGGATATAGTAGTATTTTATGATAATCAGAATCTCTTATTCCACAGAATGATTTCTATACAACAACCAATGTCTTAAAAATGTGTAATACATAAAAGAAAGCAACTGCACTCCTATTTTTGGCCCTGGTGCACTTATACTGGACATTTCAGTAAATTACATAGCCATCTGACGTAATGATATATGGTGAATTAAATATGAATTATAAAATTTATTATTCATGTGTTTAATGAAATATAATTGTATTGCATTATATACATTAAGAACATATGATGGTGTTTTGCTCCATAATCGACCCCCAGAGGACGAGATGGTAAAAGTGATCCTCTCTCTGGAGGCTAAGGATGCAGATATATGAAAAGTATTAATAATTCCTAGAAATGGTTAATCCTCTTCCCTAACATGTTTGTCTCCATTACACTTTTAGACCACCATTTGGTCATTTCCATGTTTTATTGTTTACAACATTGAAACACAGAGGATTTAAATTGGCTTTTGACTAAGGAAAATAGTCTTATGTAATTGTTAAAATTATTAAAGGAATAGCTCATCCAAAAATAAAAAATCTGAAAATGTACTCAATCTCAGGTCATCCAAGATGTAGAAGAGTTTGTTTCTTCATCAGAACAGATTTGGAGAAATTTATTACATCACTTGCTCACCAGTGGATCCTCTGCAGTGAATGGGTGCCGTCAGAATGAGAGTCCAAACAGCTGATAAAAACATCATAATCCACACCACTCCAGTGTCATGTGAAGAGAAAAGCTGCATGTTCGTAAGAAACAAATCTATTAAGACATTTTCAACTTCAAACCGCTGCTTCCCACTAAAATACAAGTCCTCTATCCATAATATTGCTTTCTCCAGTATAAAAAAAAAAAAAAAAAAGCAGTCTCGTCTGAATCAGGAGAGAAATATGCAGATCAAGCACAATTTACAAGCAAGAACAGTTAAAAGCAGTTCTGTCAATATGTCAATGGATTTTGATGTGAGAGGACAACAGGTGATGGACATTCTGGACAAAGCGTTATTATTTATTATGGACTTGTATTCTGGCCAAAAGCAACAGTTTAAAGTTAAAACAACTAAATGATGGATTTGTTTCTTACAGACAAGGAGCTTTTTGTTACACAAGATGTTAACTGATGGACTGGAGTCTTGTGGATTATTGTGATGTTTTTATCAGCCGTTTGGACTCTCATTCTGACGGCACCCATTCACTGCAGAGGATCCATTATTGAGTAAGTGATGCAACGCTACATTTCTCCAGATCTGTTACCATGAAAAAACAAACTCATCTACATCTTGGATGGCAGGAGGATGAGAAAAATGTTCATTTTTGAGTAAACTATTTATTTAAAAACAAAATAGGAGCACATACACTGTACATTCATCTTGTATGTTATTTCATTTGCTGTGAAGGTGCGCTTCACACACTGCAGTGTGCAGCCATTTCCACAACTGATACGAATCAAACTGCAAGCGTCACACAGCTGTTACTGCTCAGAACATCAACAATAGCATCAAACAGGAATCTAGCTGGAGGACTTTACTGTAGAATTTATTAGAAAGCCAAAAAACCATAGGGCCATTTAATTGGTTGCCTTTTGCACATCTGTGCATCCAGGTTTAAGAAAAAATAATTAATTTCTAGCGATCCCAGAGTCCATTGAGTTCAGAAGCTCATCTGAGAGGTAAACACCCAACTCTACTGTTGCACTGGTAGAAATGAAGGAAGCAGATTTTATGGATGATACAATTCAAGACTAAAAATGACAAAGCATGTAATCGATGCAATATTCCACCTTTTTAATGTATTGCCATAATTGAAATGTACAACATCTTCCAGTCACATTAAAAGACATTTCAGTGATAGGTAAAATCTTTTTTTTTTTTTAAAGAAGAAATTAAATGCTGGTTACAACAACAGGCACTCCTAAAAGATGAAAAAACAAACATACAAACTTCCCTATAATAACAACTTTCGAAAGTTGACCAAATTTTATGCAACATTTAAAGGAAAAGATTTAGTATTGATTTTCTATGTGGTTCATAATTACCTGGATCACAATGTGCATTTTCTGTAAATTAACAATATTAATTTAATAGAAAGTTTTCATTAATCACCCTATCACTTATTCCC